GCAACATTTCGCAAATGTTGAGAAGGTTTTGTTGACTTTGTTGATTGTATGATTGTTTTGTTCAAGAAATCTCAATGTTATTGACACTAATGATGTATCAGCAGAAGTGTCTTTGACTGTCACTCAGTTCTTTATTATTTTGTTCTGCATCATAAAAGCTGCAATGAACAGAACAGAGAAGTTATTATATAAAGTTTTTAGTAATACAGAATATATGTATCAACAAATTCAGCTAATGATTATTTCATAAGAAGTCGTCAGAAATTATTTTTCTCATTTAAAGTTCCACATATATATCTTATAAGTACTTAATCAGCAAAATATTAAAGTACGATAAATTAATATATTAGTAAACTGACCACATGCTCTAACTCGAAGTTCTTTCAATTCAGTTTTTTGTTTTTCATTGCTTAATTCCTTCATTGCATTTGCATGTTTCGATAGTCTATACCTTAAAGGTATACTAAAATTTTAATAATAATAACCCAACGATTATATAAATGATAAATTAATATTTTAAATACTTTTTGAGTTACAGTCTTCTAAAGTGTAGTCGCACAGTTCAATCAGTTCATCTTTGAAAAAATTACTGTCAAAACTACATTTTTCAAATTGGCTGAAGTTTTAACTCGAAGAAGAACTCTCATTTTGGGCAAAATTATTATTTTTTTCTTTTTCGAAAATTGCTATATTGTTAAATTTCATTTTTCAACGATCGTGGAACATCGTATAGAGAATACCTTATAGTCAAATAATTTTTTTATTTTGTATTTATTTTTTATTTTCAACTACGTGCATTGGAATAACTCGCTAAACACAATTTGTTTTATTGGGTATTTGTGTACATTATTTATTAGGCTGGAGCGAAAAAAATTTTTTTTTGTTGCTTAGCTTGAGGGGAAAATCTGTAGATTACAAGAAAAAAAATTTGTGGACAAGTTTTAAAGTAAATTTCGTGTTAAAATTTTTTTTGGACAAGCAAAAATTATTTTTGGTTTAAACTCTGTACAGTTATAAATTACCGAATGTGACGGTTTTTGACTCAAAATTTATTTTAACGCTTAAGGAAAGCATGTTGTCGTTTAAGACTTTTTTTAAACTCCAATATTGACCACAAACATTTTTTTTAGGTTGATAACTTTTAACAGCTCTCCACAGCTTCTAGAACACTTATCAAACATTTTTTACGAAATAAAATTTTTGACACGAAAAAGACGTTAAAACAATTTTTTTTTGTCTAAAAACTTTCTTTTTTTATAATCCACAGATTTTAACCTCAGGCTAAGCAAAAAAAAATTTTTTTTCGCTCCACCCTATTATTTTTGTATACATATATTTTTGAAATTTTAAAACGTTTTATACAGTGTTTTCTTAGAAAACATTCCAAAAAATCAATTCTTTCTATACTAGCAGCTTCATTTCTTTCAGTTTGTATGGCAGCTACAAGTATATGCTATAGTAGTCCTCTATCGGACGTTCCGACAAATGAGCAGCTTCTTGAAGTTCATCGATCGATGTCTCAAAAACTGAGGGATTATTAGTTAGCGTATATACAGACGGACAGACGGACGGATATATTTTCTAGGGTATCCAACGCTTCTTTCTATATCCTGTTCAGGATATTTATTTATTTATTTAGTCGACAGTTATAGTCTAATATATGAGATGGGAAGTCCGTATAAATTAGCTCATATCTGTGTTTTCAGCTGATTATTTTGGTAATATGCAGTCAATTGGCGCTATGACCTGCTATGCTGGCTGGTTTCTAACCCTTTACGGGAGTAAATTACAAGCACTTATTGTAAAATATTAGAGAAAATGTTAGTACAGTAGTAAAGTTTTCAAAATTATGTACAGTAAAATATATTTACAAATACTTTTATATTTTGGAATGCAATATTAACTTTTTTTCAAACTTTCTAAATTAAGTTTAATTAATAAGAAGTTTAAAAAATTATATTTTTAGACTTGTCTAAATCTCCAAAATACGGAATTTCTTTAATTTGAGAACACTTTTCATAATATTATTGAACGTTCTCAGACAACTGGTAACGCGAATAATTTTTTCGATAAATCACTTTAACAGTATAATTACACATGTAACGTATATATACTTGCAATGTTGAACAAATATTAACTCTAATTAACATAAAACCTTCTATAATTTTTTTTTTTCGAACAACCGTATATCTAGTTACGTCTATATTGTTAACTCACTCATTATATTACACTTGTCATAAGTAGCTTGCGCATGCGTAATATGTTTGTTGCATTCATATGTGGCTGTTAATTGGAGTATTAAAGTTAAGCACATTTAATAATGCGGCGGTCTTGTTTCATATACCATACTTTAATATGCATAAAACACTAGTCTACATGGAATTAAAATTTTTCCGTCAACATTTATTTTCTCATCAAATAAAGGTAATTAATGCCGCTTTAATACTGAGGTGCTTAAATAAATAAATACGATATATTCATATTATTAAATTTCAACAGAGGCCAGATAGTTAGCGAAATCCAGGAAAATCAAAATTATAATTTATATATGAAATAAAATATATAAGAAATTGACTTGTGCAAAAATTTTCATAAGAACTAGCAGCATCAGACAAAATTTTCGAATAATGTAGGTAAGAACCAAATATGATTTTTTTCAATTCATTTATATTGTTATATTTTGTTTATGTTTTAAGCTATATACACAGAAATATTCTTAGAAAGAAAGTATTTCAATATGTATTTTGCATAAATCTCCAAGTTGGGGATATATTTTGTGAAGAACGTGTCTATAAAGCATTGGAAGCTCGTAATTTAAAGTTCAAAAATAAGAATTAACAAATTGGCTTTAAGCATCGGGAGTGCAGTAAAAAATTTCAATGGGCACTACCTTGTATAAAATTTCGAAAAAACATATTATTTATTCTTGCATATGCCGCTAGAGTATACTTTTAAAAAAACATATTACAATTATAAATTAATATTTCAAATAGTTTCTGAGTTACAGTTTTTTAAAGTGTGGCCGTTCATTTCAATCTTTATCTTTAAGCATGTTTTTGTCAAAACTATATTTTGCAAATTTGCTTGAGTGTTTAATTGGAGACATATTATCCGGCACAATCCAATTGCTGCTTTTTTATATTGTTTTAATCGAAAAATATTTCATGTTTTTCTTCAAAAACTTGTCTGTCTATCCTTAAAATATGTTATTAATTTAAACACACCAGGTGTGCTCCTTAAGGGTTACATAGGGTTCCTCGAGCAAAAAACGCCCTATTTTCAATAGTTTAAAATAATGAAATATTGTATTCAAACCTTTTATTTTACAAAAGATTTAGTTAACTTTTCTAAGAAAAATATTCAAAACTCGGCTACCACCACGTCATTTCCGGCAGTCCCTTGAAAAAGGGTGCGTCCGCGTTGATAGCAAAACTTCTTATAGGATCATATGAAATAAAAAAAATAATTTTTTATTGAATAGTTGTAATTGAGAAAAATCCTTCGTTCGAGACCCTGTAAATTATATATTTAATACCTGTATACAATTTCATTAAGAGCGGTTGATTATTACGCGAGAAATCTTGACAAACGACATTGAAAACACAGTTTCGAGAAAAATGCGTTTAAAGTTTTAAATGACTACATAGCTTACCTCGAGCATCCACTAGCACGAGCTTTCCAAGGTTGTATCTCGAAAACTATTACTTGGATCAACTTGAGCATTTAGGACTATATTTCAGAGATGATTAAAAATTAATTAATAATATAAAAAAAAATCAATTTTTTGAAGCCATGAAACCCATGTAATCCCTTAAGCTACACAGATGAAGTCCCAATTAACAGCCATTTTACGTATGTATGGTATACAAGTATAGTTAAAATAATATGGGTTGGGTTTTTTTTCCTATGACCCGTGAATTTTTGCAATTCCCTTATTAAGTTTTTTATATTTAAAGATTTATGAAAAGAATCTTAAACTTTTGTTTAAATATTTGTTCTTTTAAATACACAGCTTGAAATTCCCGCTTTTCCAACAAATTAATCGCTGTTACCCAGTATAATTAATTAGAAGTTAATTATTATTGTTTGCCCCACAGGCATAGACGACTGTAATTTCATGTTTAACTACCGCTTATTTTGGTCTCAGATTCATTTCATATGATTATGACTAAGCATTATATAAATGTTGTTATAATAGTGCAAATACCAGTAGTGATTAACCGTTACTTTTACATTTTATTTCCTGTAAACGTGGTACTTAGAATTGCTTGAATACCAAAAGATCATTAGCATTACTGGCAGTACGTATGCATGTATGTGGTCCACCAAATGGGTGTGTTGCGCACTGGGAAACAAAATGAATAGAACACAGTATGAGAAAAAAACATTGAAACTTGTTCTTTAATATTAAGTAACTGGATTTTGTTTGGTCTTATTTTATATAGTTTGCCACATGATTACCATTGTTTAACTACCTTTTTAGATCATTATTGAATAATAGTTTTAAGCGAAGCTGTGTTCCATGTTAAATAACACACACATATGCGCATATAAATATATTTATCACAATTTTGTTCTAAACAAAAGGCCAACAACATCGCAAATATGCGGGTACTTTAAAGTGCAAATAGAGAGTGTTCAGCTACACCCAGAAATGTCAATCGCCCCATTGACAGTTTACCATTCACCAGCCACATGGACTTTTGCTTTCAATTAATCTTTTCTATAGCCATTGTCATTGCGTGAGCAGCTAATTGCAGATTTGCTATATTTGGCAGCACAAACGTGTTAAATTTTAGATAAGTTCAATTTTTATTGTTGTAAATACAACCGAAACATGTATTCGTGCCTTTTGCTAGCGCGTGTATGTTTCTAAAAGAATTTGAATTTAAAATTTTTAGATATTTATATTATTGTATTTTTATTTTAAAGTTCTTATACATAAATTGGAATTTAAATTGCAAATCATTTCAATTTATGTTTTTGTTATTTCGTTTCAGTAAAACTACAACGCGCTACAACACATACAAACGTACCAATAAGTGACGGCGGCATAGCTACGAAATTGAAAATTTTTCAAGTTTTTAACGAAGCGTGCGCGTATAATAAAAAAGAAAAAAATATATATATAATCGAATATCAATAACCGTTTTAACAGCAACATCTGCTATCTTCGACACACTTTTAATCAATATGTAAATATTACCGGCTGGAAGTTTTTTCTTCACAACGTTTTTTAAAGTCTCATTCATTAAAAATTTGTAAAATACCAAAATAATAAATAATAATATTTTAAATGTTTGTCAATTAACAATTATCCTTTTATTTTTCTAACTAAAGAAATTACAATCAATTGCTTTCCAATTATTCTTCTTTTAAGCACAAACATCGAAGTCCCCCATATCAATTTTTCCCCCTATAATCACTCACATAAGTGCAATAATAAACATAAATAAAATCACTAAATAAAATAATTTTAATTAAAATCATTTAATCTGTTGTGCAAAGTGATGAGTTTTAATACAAAAATTAAATAATATAAAAATCGCATCAAGGTGGCATCACATTACAACTTACAACTAATTACAAGCTAACAAACAAACGTCTTAACTTCATTCATACAACGATTCTGTGATATAAGAACCAAAAGGTGAGTCGAAAAACGAGTAATATTTTAATAATAAAATCTTGGTTAATTTACATTTTATTATAATACACACAAATATTCATGCTTACATAAATGAAATCGAATCTGTTACTAAGGTGCCATCTATAAAATTTAAACGAGCGAGTATAGCTAAAATTTTTGGCGAACTGAGTTGAATTCTTATATAAAATTAAAACACAATAGTAAAGGGATAGATTTTCAAAGACATTAAATTTGTACATTAATTTATTATTATTATTTTTTTAATATAATATAACTTGATTTACAGTGAATTACCTAGAGAAAATTTATAGTACAGGGGTGCTTTTGTGAGAAGAGGAAAAAAGGCGTTAATTCATCTTATTTGAAGTCGTTGTGCATGACCCTTATATCTATTAATCTTTATATCAGTAAAATTTTAATACGTACGAAATTTTGCTTAGCCCCAAAATCGGATTGCTTAAGAAGTAGTCCCACATAATTTTGTCTCTACTCCAAATAAAAAAAATATAATATTCTTACAGTCTTTAAAATATATAGCGAATGTCCTTCGCACTTAACATTTGATTATCTCTGTTTTTGTAACTTAGGAAAAAAAAATAAATAATTTCCTTTTACAAAATAGTTAAGAAATGTATTTAATTTGGTCCATTTAGAATTTAATTTGACAATGATCCGAAGTTTGCTCGCATACACTTTGCTTTTAAAATTACCCCAATGAAATTGATGCAATCAAATCTGGAGATTTGGAGTCATTATTACTTTTTCTGACATCAGACACCATAGGGATTTCTGCGGAAAAAACCAATAGTTTGATTCACAATTTGACATATCGTTCCATCTTGTTGGAATGATATATCGTGGATAAATAATTGATAAACATTCATCGATATTGATGTCTATTGCGTGTTTTGTTACTTGACAAAATATGGTTCATTTCTTCCTGACTTCAAATTGAGATTTTACCCGTTTCGCAAAGCGATGATCTTTTTCACAAAACTTGTAAAAATTATTAACTAAAGCAAAAAAGAAAAAGTATTCATATATTCCGTTGGCGTTTACCAAAATGGTTGGAATCCCTTTAAACATTTAATTTTTTAGTTTGCAGGTTTGAAGATGGTTCTCCCTGCCGATGTTTTCAAAATACCTACATAGCCTTTTTATGATTCGGTATAGATTTCAATGCCATCACTGCTGTTAAAATGGCAAAGCCTTTAGCTAACTCTTTTATATCTGAAAATGAGACATCGTTTCCCATTTATTCGGCTTATAGTCATTTATAAACTTTGGTTTGACTTAGATAAATATCTATTTTGGTTTTAAGTAAATTTAAGCTCAACTATGATTTAAATTTGTCTATCTGTTATGAATAATTTCGTAAGCAAAACGCAATGAAACCTTTTATCCACTTATACTCGTATGATATTACATGGGTTTCTGACTACCACTGCTGATCCCTCAGATATTATAAAAAATTAGTTTTTTTTCGTCAACAAATGAAAATAAGAAGCAATTCATTGTCGGCTTAATTGCGAGAGTTGGTATTTGTTTGGTTATGTGCTTGTGAAGCGACGATTCCTAATATTTACCTATTTGGGATGAGTTCAGTATTTGATGCTCAAATCACCACTAGTAATCGCCAAATTTTTTCGGAAGAAAGTAATAATTTTTTGAACAAGTTTTTTGAGGTTTGATATCGTATGTCAAGTATATCCAAGTTTCGTCACCTTTTGGTACATATGACACACCACGATTGGATTTTTAGGTATATAGTTTAAGTTTTTAACACTTAACGCCTTTTCATCAAGTAATGACTCGGATTTGTTAATTAACTTTTTCTTGTTTAAGGATACAGATATTTTTTAGCATGTTCTCTGAGAACGCATCTGTATTTCTTTTTTTTTTTTAATAAAAAAAAGGTTTTAGAAATGTAATCCGGTTGGATTCTATAAATGCTTTCTATGCGTTATAGTACGCTATAAACAAGTACAGTTAATTCTGAAAGATCTGCATTATTGAAATGACGCTAATGAGCGGCGAAAAACTACTTGAAATATTTCTTCGACTAAAGCAATAAAAAACCTGATATTCACGTCACGTTTAAGCAATGAATTTCCAATAAGCGCCTTTCAATACTTTCACAACTGCGCTCATAAATCGCATAATCGTAAAACACCAGCAAAATTCTATGATTCTGACTTTGTAGACGCGCAAAGTGGGTAGATTTACGATCGATCTTTACGATCAATATATTACAGTTTTCAGATTTTAATTGGCGAGAAACAACGTCGTAGTGGTGATAAAAATAGCAGCTTTTGCAGCAGGCCTGCTAAGCCATTAGCGAGACGTTTAGAACATAAGACTGGAAAATTATAGGCTATTAAGCGGCACGCACTAACAAAAGTGTCGAAAACTGGAATCTAAACTGTCTGGTGCATGTAAAAGAATGGCATTATAACTGCACAGCAATGCAAAACAGAAAAAAAAATACGTCAACAAAATAATAATAATTCCATGCGCAAATATTTACATAAGTACTGAAAAGAAAATAAATCGAAAAATAAAAAATGTTATGTTGGGTGCAGTTTCTCAGGCCTCTCGTATTTTGCGTGCATGAAAATCCACTTTGATTAAAAAGCTCATTTATTTATTTATTAGCTAAATCGACTTATTCACACCGCTATAGAGTTTGCGTATAACATTTCACGCCTTGATAATTTACGCAATGACAATGAACTGGCTGGTGCGTTTGCGGCTACGCGGAGCGGTGTCTGTACTAAATATGTGGGTTGCGTCTGCGCCTTTGAGCTTATCGATGCAATCTAAGCCACATTTCGATTTATTGATGCTAATGAATGTACTCATATGCGTTGAAATCTTAATTTCACATATTGTATTAATTATTTGTTGTGCTAAATAAGAAACATTTGTTTGCCAATATGTCAAACAAAGTACCTGTCGCTGAGGCTAACAATCAAAACCGCAATAAAAAGGCATTAACTTCAAGAAATATGGAATAATATATACGCATACTTAATATGTATTTGATGAAGTATTTATGAGTAAATTATTGATTTCTAATGCAAATAATCATAAATATGTATGTGCGGCGTTGTATTTGTGGGTGGTCTGTCATTTGTCGGAGAATAATTGCAGTTGTTAAAGCCAACGATAATAATGTCTGCCATATCGACATCTATTCCCGAGCTATTTGCCGATATGTCAATACTTTGTGGCCGTCATTCTATAAAGCACCTGTCCCCATTTGTAATATGGTCAGTTACTTGCAACCGGCTCTTATCTGGTTTAATGAACTGTGAAAGTGATACCGCCTACGGTGTTTTTTAGCAGAACAAGAAAATGAGGAAATTATGTATTGAAATTATTGCGATAACATTAATTATGCAGACCAAGCATAGTGTAATCCCTTTCACTATAATTATCTTACAGAAAAAATTGAAGTTATATTTTTGAGTATAACTTATGGTATTTTGAATAAAGTTCTTAATTTGGTGTGGTATTATATTATAATATAACTTCTCCTGCTGCTTCAGATCCTGACCTTTTTCAGAACAATCTTTTAGATTTGATCACCTCAGTACCCTAATTTAACACCATTAGGTAATTTTGTGAGAGCCCACCGAAATATAATATTAATGTTATCCAAACAATCCGTTATTGATTTAGAAACGTTTGTGAAAACTATTACTAGAATTTTGGAAAACTTTGTTGAGAAAATGCGTTATTCATGAAGTATCATGTAAATCTCAGTGAACTTGTTTGCACATGATAGCATTCTAAAATTTAAACAATGTAATTTTGTTTGTCTTTGAAACCCGTCTTTTTTTACAAAAAATTTCTACGTGACAACACCAGCAAAGCTGTCCAGTAAGACCGCTTATAATCTAATAATATTATTTATGCCAGTGATTTGTTCGATTCGACACTATCTCTCATTCCAGGCATCAAAAGTATATACAAAGGCAGGTTATTCATAACTATTTATTCACGTTTCCTTCATATTATATTATGTTATGTAAGTCTTCCTTCTCCCAGATCGAAAATCTGACCGTGTCCAAATGATGGTAATAAAAGGAAATCATTTTTATTTTATATACATATATACTCGCTTTTACCATAACCAACTTTCATATTGGCTTAGATTAAGACATCTCCGTTCTCAATTAATTATTCCCAAACCGAGGGATATACGTCAGGAGTATTTTCTGGGCGACTGATAACATTTAATAACGTTCTTATCTATTTCGTACTCAGACCTTTTTCTCACTTCCTTCAATTTATTTAAAGGATTATATCCTTTTGCAAGTCTATAAAAAAAGAGTTATTTGTGAATTTTTCTTCAAGGAGCATGTTATTGAATAAATATATAAATAAAAAAAATTTACATTTTTAAAATTTAACGTACTTTAATAATCGGTCATTAATTTGAATTTGAATGTTTGTGGATTTTGAAAAATTTTAGATTCCCATCGATGCCGCAGTTGGTCTCCAGAAGGCCCTCCGAGAAAATGTGTCCAGCGATGAGAAATATGTTTTTGCTTAGAATTATCTCAACTCCAAAAACCTATTAAATTTATTATTATTACGGTAGATGATTCCAATAACTGTATTCAAATCTAAGGGTTAGTCAAAATTTTGATTTTTCACAAAAGGGCGACTTCCCCCCCAAAAAAATGGTTTTTGGTAACAAAATTTACATTTCAGAGTGGCTTAAAAAATCGAAATTATTATCAAATATTGTATATTACCTCTTCTGTCTTTATCTCATAAATATATCTATGAGATATATCAGTCGTTTCGACGAAATTTTACTAACCCACTCTGAAAAAAGCGTTTCGGGTAAAATATGTTCCAATATCTTTGTAAAAATTAAATTGAAATCAAAATTGAAATATGTGGCAACATTAAGAGAAACCGAAATCTAAAGAAATCACTGAAAGGCAAAATTTCAACACTAGGCTATCGCTGATAATCTAGTACCA